CCCCAAAACCCCAAAACCCCAAAACCCCAGAAAGTTAATTAGAGAGCAATTAAATATATCAATTATTAAATTTTAGAATTGAAAATAGATTTATAGTTTGTTACATATAGTTATATCAATTTACTAGTTGCATTTAAGGTCAAGTCGCCATGTATTTATAAATGAGCTATCATTTTATATTGAAGATTAAGATGTGAAAGATCCCAGGTACTTCATTCAATAGGTGAATTTCCTGTAAGATTAGATGGTAAATCTAGTTAGAAAACACCATTTAGTAGCCTTCCTATTACTTTCATTGTAGTTTATAAATTGTCTTTAAACTCTAAGGTTTCTAGACGAGGAATCATTATAGGCCAGAGTTTCCTGATGAATTCATTTGAGAAAAAACTTGAGATAAGACCCTGATTATTGTTCTCAAATACATTTCTGAAGAGATTGATGGTATCATCATCAAGTTCATTAAATAAAGGCCAGCAGACAGGTCTTCTTCTACGCTGATTTCTGTTGGTAGTCAGAGTACCCTTATTGGGATAGATCAAAAGTACTGCAAGCCAGATTTCTTAAGGTGCAGGATTGCTGAATTTTTCTAGAGGTAAAAGTTTCAACAGTGTTCTTGCTTTATCGTATAGTCTTTAGTCAGTCCAGTGATTTTTGTTTCGATCCAAGCTATAATTTTTCAAAAGCCTTTAGAATTGTTTTCGGAAACCTCTCAAGAGAGGTTTAAAGCCACGTTCAATCTTAATGGGTTCGACTCATAGTTAGAGCTACTATCCATTAAGTTTGGACTCGGCCTCCAAAAACAATCTAACATCTCTTTTGACTTGACTTTAGTCTTGGAAACGAGGATCAAAAATCAAAGGATTCGTTTATCTATTTTGAAACTCAAATGATTAATCATCATCCTCCTAGTTATTAGATCTTTGTGATTCATCATTTGTTTGAGTATTGTTATTTATTATCTCCTATGGCTAGGCAATTTCTTATTAATTATTAGATCCCATAGGAATATTTATCGTAAGTAAGTTATCTTAATGAACATTATTCTCAGTACTATGTTTTGTATTTAGGGACGCACTTGAAGAGTTGTTTGAAACTTCACTCAGAAGATTTGATGAAACCTCATTATTTCCAAAGTTTGAAATAGAAAAGATAGAAAAAGAATCTGTCATATTGTTTTATTATTGACCAATATCTTGTAAGCTAGAATTTTAGATTTAATCTATCATATAATCCTAAGAGATTCTTTCTGATTGGGACTCATCATCTGATTACCATTCTTAAACTGGTGAAAAGTTACTATTTTATAGGAACAGCTCTGGATCCAATAATGGGAATTAATGATTACCGATAAAAGATTAAAGCTGGTCTGAAGATCTACAGTTAAATGGAGGCATTGAGCCTTAGAATTGATTGAATTCACAATTTTGACGAGTTAAGTGTCTGGAGAACATATCTTATTCGATTTAGAAGTTTTATGATTGATTATTTGTGTTTTAACGTGAAAGGAGAATTCTGGGGCTAGACGAATCCTCTAAAATATCCTAAATTTTCTAGTTTTAATGGTTCATTTAGAACATTTCACACTCTTAACTACTATAAGAGTTCTCGTAAGAGCTTTGAAATTATATACATCCCTAGTAATAAGGGATACTATTATTTTCTTAGTGATTTTGGCTAGGCTTATTTGAGTTCATTGATAGTTCCTGGTCTTGTCTTTGTAAATAAAGAAAATATTATAAATTTTGTAATAAATCTCTTTAAATAGTCGAAAAATAATGCGATTCGGGGTTTTGGGGTTTTGGGGTTTTGGGGTTTTGGGG